AGCTGCAAACTCTTGATCATGATGATTTTTGTATATTTGGACAAAATAACCAAATGACAATATAACATCATGTAATTGTGCCTTATCTGCCTGTAATTTATCCAAACATCTTGCAAAAGGTTTCATAAGATCTTTAAGTTCTTCTACATCTTCCCACCACTCTTCATTACTAATAATCTGACACAAATCATCAGAAAGTACAAGGGATCTTTCATTAGTTCTCAAATTTCTTGTGGCTTGATATTTGGTTACTAATGTCTAGTTGTAAAAAAAAACTTTGTTATAAATATTGATCGTAAATTAAATAAACTATTAATGAGCAAAAAAAAAAAATCAACCTTCAAAGCTCCTTTGGATCTCAACAAACTTACATAGCAATCATAATTTGAGTTCCATCGAGTATCATTTGGTGATACTAAACCATATGTATTCCTATACAAATCCATTTGTTCATCACGAAGTCTTTTTATCCAATATGCATGATTAACATTATTAAAATAACTTGCAATAGCTACTGCATCTTTTGCAACAAGCTTCATCCTGTATGATTCCTTAAATATTTCACCAATGCATAAATTTACTTGGTGTGCAAAGCAAGGGATGAACACCTTATCTGTATGTTGAACACGTAGTTGACGTCTGAAAAATATAAAAAAAAATAAAATAAAATTAAGATATTTAGCATATAATTTTTTTTTGTTATATATAATAAATTAAAAATATATTATTTAGTTTACAAATATAAATATTTACCTAGCTGCTGCATATTCTGCTGCACTGTCAGTAACTACAGCATTTATCATTATATTTTTTGACTGTAAATCTTCAAAAATCAATGTAATATGTTGGAGGACTTCTTGAGTACGACTTCTCTCACCACTAATATCATAAGCATTCCATACTAGTGTTTCACCTTCATTTGTAATTAATATTACACCAAGTATTTTTTCATTGACAACATTCGACCAACCATCCAATGCAACTGTCACACCATATTCAGAGTTAGATGCTTGTTCTTTTATCCAACTATTATGTTTAAGAGATGCATCATTCAAAATTCTTCCAGAAAGAGCCTTCCTATTTGGAAGTCTTATATTTGGATTCAACCATCTGAAAAGGGACTTTACTTCTTCACTTTCAATCCACCTGAAAGCCAAACCATTAGATACAGTTATACGAAGTAAGTGATCCTCTAATATTGATTCTTCAGATTTTGTAGGAGTACGTAGCATAAATCTTTCAATATTATATTTATTAATATTATTGCTTTGAAAAGAGCCCAAAGACAAATTTGTGATATTTTTATTTAGTGATGTTGATGTTGATGTTGATGTTGATGTTGACATTGATGCAGATGTATTAGATGTATTGTCATTACCTGAGATAAAAACAAATAAAAAAACAAAAAATATTAATTAATTTCTTAAATTACCAAATGAGTTCATTATAATAAATTAATAATACTTGGTTCAATTGTACGTGCTCTTTTTTGAGAATTTGGGTGTATTTCTTCTTCTAAAATTTGATTAATGTTTTGCTCTCCTACTACCACTTTGAAATTTTCACATTTTTTTAAATGCGACTTAATTCTATCTTTTTTATTCAATAATTTATTCTGATATGCAACTTCATGACCCAAGGCATTTCTACAATATAAACAAAGTACATATTTGTTGAAGTTATTGGCTTTTTCATTAAGAATATAAATGTGTGGTGTTAAAGAATGTGGTTTGTTTCCCATTGTTTTAATGGCAAATAAATGAACATTATAAATAAATATAATTTTTTTTTTTATTTAGAATTTTTGAATGTCTCACAAATATTTGGACGTTGGCATATTGGACAGTCCAATTTATGTCCAATTTACTATATTTGGTAATTTGGACATAAATTGGACTGTCCAATATGCCAATGTCCAAATAGCTACTGCGCCAATTGGATTTGGATTGGACAATTGGACAAGACAAATCCAATTGGAAATTAATTGGACATATAAAAATGCCAACACTGCCTA